TGAAAGCATGCCTGCAGGCATGCTTGTCTCAAAGCATTCATGGACTTTTCGTGTGCAGTGGTTTCCAGCCGAGGCAGCTCGTCGTGTGCAGAGAAGGCTGAGCTAGCGCAGTTGTGTGTCGACGAGCTGGTTCGATCATTCGGATTGGGAAGCATGGCGGCATTGAGTGTGTGCTGCGGTGCAAGATAAGAGCGTGTAAGATAGTGCATGATCACGTAGGCGTAAGCTGACATTAACAGCTGTCGCACCCGTTGCATCAGCGAGGGCCCATGTTTTTTTCGCATACGAAAGCCCCAATTAAGCCATTAAGCACAAGCGGCAAAGTTCTTGGCTGATGCGCCGGTACGCAGTGCCCCTGCAAAGGAGAAGTGCTCCTCCGGGCGGGACTTTCAGAGGAGGATGCACTTGCATCCTTCCGCCGCTGCTTTTCGAAGAAGTTGCGTCTGCGCAGTTGCCAGATTTTTGCATCGGGCTTCTGTGGGAAGAGGACGTCGTTTGTGTCTGTGAGTGGTTGAAACAGGGTTTTAAGATGGGACAGCCAGAGATGATGGCGAAAAACCGTGAGAGACTCGAACACAGAGAGGGTGAGAGAGAGAGAGAGAGAGAGAGAGAGAGAGATAGAGAGAGAGGGGGCCCTGTCGAAAGAAAGAGAGCGGGAGGGGATCACAGGCACATTGGGGGAAACAGATCCTTCTTCAACCCCGAGAGGGGCCATTCCGACAGACCGGCGCGGACGGAGTTGGGGTTGGTCTTCAGGCCGGGAGGTTCGCCCCCAGACCCCCAGCAAGCAAGCAAGCAAGCAAGCAACAGAGAGAGAGAGAGAGAGAGACGAGTCTGTCTTTGTTACAAGCCTCTCGCTGACAACACTTACAGCACCCCTCAGGTCATTAGTAGGTCAGGGGAAGAAGTAGCACAACGAACTGTGACTGGCTCCTGCCTCTCCCTCTCTCTCTGTCTCTGTCTCTGTCCGTCTCTCTGTCACTCTCTCTCTCTCTGTCTCTGTCTCTGCCTCTCTGTCTCTGTCTCTGCCTCTCTGTCTCTGTCTCTGCCTCTCTGTCTCTGTCTGTGTCTCTGCCTCT